AATTTTGGATTTCCTCGTGAATAGCTGTTTTTAGAAGTTATTGAAGAAGTGTGTTTGTTTCGGCTTTTAAGTCCATTTTCTCCGTAGTTTTTTGTTGAAGCCGTAACAAGCACAGCCATTATATAGAAACACTCTGTTTCATAAAAACTGCTGCTGAGCATATAATAAACTCTTCACTGTTTTAGCATATATGGATCATTATTGATAGCTCTATTGATATAGTGATGAGTTGGTCCTGCTTTTCTTTATGTTTTCTACTTGAGTAATACGTTTCCTCTGAAAATGAAGGATGAATGCTGACCAAGTACAAGGTAGACAAGACAATAATAATGGAGAAATTGCAGATTCAGTCCACCAAAATGAAATCGTGGCTGCTGCATTATCTGCCGAGAAGGTTAAAGCTGCAGCCAGAGCTGGTCTTGCTGCTGCTGCAACCAAGGCTAAGCTCTTTGCAGATCATGAAGAGCGTGAGATTCAGAGGCTTTCTGCCATTATCATTAATCATCAGGTAAGCCCAGTAAATTTTTATTTTGCTTTTCTGATGCCATTTGAGCTGCTTACCATGCTAATTTTCTCCGGACTGTTTGAGTAGTGATCTTATATCACAGGCAGTTTAGAACCTTCCCATGATTACTTTTACCATGTTATTGTTTAGGTGACATGATTTGCTTGTTGATTAAAGTATATAGTTGTTTCTCAACCTTGCAATCCATTCCTGAACTATTACGTTTTGTAATGTAATTGTGACCTCATAAATGGCTCTGGGCATGGGATTGAGAGTAGTGGCATTTAGCCTGTCATTTGCTACGTAGGTTTTGCCTAGATAAAATATAGCATGGGAAGGTAGAAACGTTTTTGTAGTATAATTCAGGGAAAGGGTGAAATAGAAATAACTGATTCTGAATTGATTCTTTTCATTGGATAAGTATGTGGACATGTTTTAGAAGCCAGATAGAGTGAATTGCTTAGATCTGTTTGTTTGATTGTTGTAAATCATTGATTGACTTGAGAGGTGGTTAATTTGGTGGGCGCAGTTGAAGAGGTTAGAGCTGAAGCTGAAGCAGTTTGCAGAGGTAGAAACTCTTCTAATGAGAGAATGCGAACAAGTGGAGAAGATGAGGCAGAGGTTCTCTACAGAGCGAGCTCGAATGAAGTCGACTGACGTGGGGTCCTCGCTGCCCATGTCTCATATAAATCGAGCAGGCGTTGATCCTTCTTCCATGCCAGCCAATAACATGGTCAACAACATCAGACCACAGATGATGCCCACCACATCTTCTTCTCAGCCGATTGTTGCTGGGTATGGCAACAACAGTCAGCAGCAGCAGCAGCAAGTAGTCCATCCGCATATGCCCTTCATGCAACGAGGTCAATCGATGTTTTCCATGGGGCCCAGGCTACCCTTGTCAGCTATACAACCTTCGTCTTCAGGCGGGCAGGCCAATGTCATGTTCAATGCTTCTTCTGGGAATACGCAGTCTAATAATAATCTTAATCAAATTCTTAGGTCTGTATCAGGGCCTAGCTCTGGTCTAGGTTGAAAATGAAACCCTAACTTTTTTCCTGGACTCGAATTGAGAGTTCAGAGCATGTTGTTAATTTGAGCTACAGAAGAGGCCCTGTGTTCACCACCATTTGTACATCGCATAGGGAATTTAGTGTGTAGGGCTTGTAACAGATTACAAATGTTTCGCCTGAGATGACGAGTTTCGTGAAATGAATTTGGGGTAGATTCATATATCCAATGTTGGAAAACTTACAGTTGTCTATGAAGGGGCTCACTGTAATATGTTCTGAGATAATTGTTTCTTAGTGTTGTAAACAGATGTTGCAGGAGTGAATGGTCAGAGGCATTGTTGAGGCGGCGTCGGCCTTAACCATACCTAAAATAGATATTCATGTTGAGCAAGGTTGTCAAACCGGTTTATACCATTGTGCCGGTTTGGCAAGTGGAATGGTACGATCGGTGGTATAACCAGTTTGTGTCAGTTCATGCCGGTTTAAAAAAATGTGAAAACAATTAATATCCAATATATTTAATTATATATAAAACATATTTGTGGACAATTTAGTTACAATCCAACAAATATCATCAACTTTTAACTATTACATTCATAAAATGAATAATAAATTAAATTTTTTAATTCATTAAATTCGTTAAAATGATGTTATTTTACTTAGAATGCGTAAGTCGATCATACCGGTGGTGTCATGCCGGTTTCATGACCGGCACAGGTTCAACCGGGTGGCATGCCACTGGCATGACAACCATGATGTTGAGAAACCTTGTTACAAAATTAGATATTCAACATTGCATTTAGGCAAGATGATCTCGCCTGCACCAATTAGTTATACAAGGTAGTTGCGATTGATTACACAGAAGGCAAGAGACAATTCCATTGTTATTCCAAGATATGCGATTGATTGAAAGAGTGGGATTCTTCTCGAGTATCCTGTCGCAGTTGGCAGAAACAACTGTCCTGCAGAAGTTCAGAGTGCAGTGTAGGACATTTTCATCCAAATCCTAACACTTCCTACTACTTCAGACCAGAGAACAGTAACTAAAGTGGGTTGCTCGCTGCTAATGAACAAAAGAAAAGGCAGAGGAACTCATTGCACTGCTTACACAACTGTCCGTAGAAGCACAGATACAAAACTTGAGCTATGAGTACATTCGGTAACCAGAAGGCCTCCAATAGTTCAACCTCACCAGACCTGCAGAATGCAGATTTCATCTTCAACAGCCTTTACATCTTAACGATTCTCTTTATCTCACAGGGATCATATTCATGCAAGCTAGAAAGACAAGAACATTTCCTACATATTTCCAGAGGACCAGAACCCAAAAATATCCACCCCCAGGTTCACAAGTGATCAAATTCTTCGACCGTTTATGTTCGTCAGACTTCTCAGAGACACTGTTGCGGTCTCTATTTAGCATTTCAGGCTGAAACTCATGCACCTGTCGATAACTCGGGGGTGAAAAAGAACAATGCAGGTGCACCAGCTTCTTAGTCTGCAAAAATATCAATGAGAACTGATCACTGAACTGGAACGAAAGGATCACTGACTACTCGTGTGTCTATTTTAGCAATTGCTATGTACAACAACTGGTTATTACAAATGACATGAAGAGATCTTTATCTTTCTGAAGAGCTCACACTTAGCTCGATGCCCTCAATGCAAACAGAAGGTCGACAAAGGCAAAGAATTTATAATCATCTATAAGAACTTCCCTAACCCTTCTTAGAAACGATACACTCGCAATGAATTGAACACCTTCAAAATTGAAGCTTCATGCAGAACCCTAAATCAAAGTAACCGGCTTTTGTCAATGTCATAGAAGTAGAAAGCAATTTGTTCAGCAACAACAGGAACAGGTTAAGAAGACCACCAAATGTACAAGTCAAGTTCTAGTTCCAAATCAAGGAGTGTCTACAAGTTTATTGAACATCCGTACAACTTCAAAATTGACATAGAAAGAACTGTAAGAGTACAATTGATCAAAGAGAGCTCACAGCCGACTATTACAGCGTAGTATTTGAACCAGCAAGAAAGGTGAAAACTTTACCCAACTCCAATTACAGTTTTGCTCAATCGAGAAAGGGAAAAAAAGGGTGTTATGAAAGAGTACGGGGAGTTCATACCAGTCAAGAATGCTGAGGAGGAGGGGAGGCGGAATCTCCACGGCGCAGATCGTCGATCAAGCTGCCGAGTTCTTTACGAGCCGATTCTCTTCCGAACATGAAACCGTACCTATTGGGAGAAGCAGAGTTGAATGAGCAAAGGAACAAAGGAAGAAGGGGAAGGGGATTTCAGCATTTTTTGGGGAAGTTACCAGCCGGAAACAGCAGAGAAAACAGCTGCAGTGGCAACGGTTTGAACCAGAGTGAAGGTTTTCGCCATTACTGGGCTCCGTCTCTGTCGCTCTCCGGGATCTTCCTTTTCCCGAGGGCTCAAGGTTTTTCGGACGGGTCTTCAATTTTTGTCACTGATCTGCTGGAGGACACTTAACACTTCCAAGCTCCAGGGTCTTTCGATATTTATTAGGGATTTAACATTTTTTTATCATGGATTTCATATAATTTCACATAGGAACAACTGCATACACAAAATTAGTTTATCAGCAACTTAACCACCGATAAGAAGAGTAACATGAATGGTAACATGGTTCGCTAAAAAGGATAATGGATGACAAAAGGTAATAGAGAAATCCAATGGGTTTACTACGATGTAGCGTTCTCACTAGTGTGCATAGTCAAATCCATCAGAATTTTATTCACCATTACTGCATACTATGATTCTAAAATCTTATTAATGCAGTAAAACCTGCCTTCCTATTTTGGTACTTAATTTAGGGATGAGTACCGATTGTAGCAGCTTAGAAACAACTTCTAAAAACAACTTAAAGTGGTTTCACTAGTTTATGCTAATTTTTGTTTAGTTGTCAACTTCTATTTCTATTAAAAAAACACGTACGAAAATAAATCAAAACATGCTTTAAATATTTTTTTTGATATGTAAAAATAAGAACAAAATCTAGAATGGTTACTAAACACTATCGTAGAGTAGTTACAGAGTAATCAAGTTTGTTCTCGTCATTATAGAGAGCACCACTCAAGAGTACTCAGAAAGTTATCTCAAAGTACAAAGATCCAAATCCAAAAGAAAATATACGTCTTGATCATCTATTCACACCTTTGCTACTTTTTGGTCGGCTAAATAAGCAAAGTTTTTGCAAACTAGAGTTTGGTCTAATAGGTTTTACCGTTATTCTTCAATCTGAATGTTTCAGGTTCGAATTCTTTGATTATTATCTAATAATGAAAATAATCCGATGCCACCCATCCAAAAAGATTAGCCAAGATTCACCCAAGCTACCATCGGCGACTGAACCCCTAAAAGGTGGCTATGACCCACAATTCAAAGGTATAAGAAAAATGATGGAAAACCCATAGAAGTGCCCTTCATAATTAGATATTTGACTTTTTTTTATTATTATGAGTACAAAGTAACAATAACATCATAGAATGATGGAGATTTGCCACAAAACTGTAACCACATTAGTAGTAAGGCACAAGACACAAGTTAAAAAATACAACAAAAACAAGAAGAAACCCATCATCTTAGACAAAGTTTAACTCGATGGAGGAGCAATGGAGCTTCCCTACATATGCTACACCAATTATATACTACACATCAAACACTGATCAGCACTTCAACTAGGGCAATAAACAAAACCATCGAGCTTCTCTTATCATATGGAGTCTCTCATTGTGGCAATGGGATATCGGCTAAATCCTCCCTATAAGGAAGCTGACCTTCCCCTGTTGCTTCTCCCCCAAATCCTTCTTCAACTCCTTTCACCGGCTCGATGTAAGTTACAACGACATCTTTCCTAAACGTCAGGTAAATCACTGCCAGAACATAGATCGCCATGAGTGGGAAAACTATGATGCCAATGAACACCTTCCCGACTTTGTGGAGGTCGCCGTCGATCAGCCACCCGACGAATCCGGTGGACAGATAGTACACATTGATGGAGATGATTCCCAGCCCGAGAATCCACGACACCACAATGATCTGCACAAAAAAAATTACGTACCATAGATTTGATTACAGAATATTCATGTGGTAAAAATGTTACACCTATGTACAAAATATGAATTATCAGCTTACATATATGGAGTTCTTGTAAGGTCCCATCTTTGTACTGCTGCTGCTGAACTTCAGAAGTGGGATCAGAGAGAACGGAAGCTCAAATGAGAGGATCATCTGCGCGCGTAAAACCAGACATCGAAACGCGGTAACATTGAACATTAAGATTTTTTTTTTCTTCCTTCATAATCTGTAACATATTTAGTGTGGTTGGTTTGGTTTGGGACAGAGTTAAAGTGTTGTTCTAACCGATGCAATGATGATCAGCCGTCCGGCGCCGGCGGATCCGCCGATGATGGCCACGATCAAGCTGGGAGTAATTGCAATGCTCCGTGTGACTAGGTTCCTCAGCCAAGTTCTCATCTTGAGGTCCAAGAACCCTTGCATTATGTACTGTCCTGCATATGTTCCTGTGATTGCAGAGCTCTGCCCTGAAGCTAGCAGGGCAACTCCGTACAGAATCTTGCTCGATCTTCCCAACACATTCTGAAACAAAGGGAATTATGGATTGAGAGGAAAAGGAATTACGCAACTAGCTACTGCCTCAATTTTGGTCAAATAAACTTCATACTATCCAAAATTTGGGGGGGTTTTGTTGTTGTGTGTAAGTGTTCTGTTTTCCACTATACCTTGAGAAGGAAAGAGGCAGAGTTGAGGGTGAGGTCGCTGCAACGTTCGGCATCCTCGGCGGAGATATTCGTCCCCGTGCAAACTTTCCCCGAAACCGAAATGACCGAGACGTTGATCAGAAACGCCACGAACAGGGCGAACCCGCTCTCTATCAGGAAATACCGGCAAGCATCCTGCACGCATAAAGATGAACATCATCGACAAAGAATCGGGCTATTATGCCAACATTTCCAATCATTTCATCAAATCCGATGGATTTTTTTTAATAGCGCCACTATATTGATCCAACAATTGCAAATGTGAAGTGATAATTGGCGTGTGAGGTACTAATTAGATCAATCTTTCGTGATTCACCAAGTTGTTTAATCCAAAAGCGGTAATATTATTCTGTAAATTACTAAATAATGAAACCATGTAGATCCAAAGATTGCGAACATCCACATCAGGCAATTTAATTGCATTAACGAGTAGGAAAGATGAATTGTGGGGTTTATTAATTAGTTAGTTGGAATGCTCACGTTGACGCCACGGACGGAGTTGGGAACTTTCCGGGAGAGGACAAGAGCAGAGTGGAGAAAGAGGTTATGCCTGCAACATGAAAAATCAATTAAATTTCACGTCATATGAAATTAATTAGTGTCAAATTTTATGTATAGACATGGAAAGGTTAATTAGTTTACGGCATGATGAGGGCGCCAAGGAGGGCGATCGCGTCGCCGGTGGCACTCTGGCCGGCGAGCTTCGGGATGAACATGCCTTTCAGAACATCCGACGCCGGAGGTTTCACGTAGCTCATTTCGCCGAAGAAACATGCCGCCATTACGAATACTAGCAGGGAGATTAACAGCTCCAGCTTCCTCACCTTAACACAAAAAATACACGTGTTACGATTAGAACTCTAACCTTGTGACGTTGTGATGGTTGTATCATATATATATATATATATATATTTCGGGTGCCGTATTCGGTGCACCCACTTTTTCGGGTGCACTCAGTGCACCCGCCTCATAATTGTCATTCTGACCATGCGATTCATGTCAAAACGGTATCAATTGTTGCTTATGATATTATGAACAAGAAGCACATGAATTTGAAAAAAAATCATTCAAAATTTACTTTAATTCGAAGGATTTAGGATTTAGGGATTTAGGGTTAGGGTTTAGGTTTACAATTTGGGATTTTGGGTTAAAATTCAAAATTGAAGGTTAAGAGGTTAGGGTAATGGATTGATTTGTTATGATTCTATGTCATATCATCATATTATATTGAGAGTACTAATTAAAGTTCAAAATTTGATGTATTATGGACGCTTTTAGAGTTGGGTGTACTGAGTGCACCCAAAAAAGTGAGTGCACCGAAGTAGCCACCATATATTTCGGGTTGTAGTGAAAGTACCCCGTATTTCTGGAGGCCGAGGAGTAAGAGAGTGCTGCTGCCGGTGAGGAGGACGCCGGCCCAGACCGGGATGTGAAACAAAATGTTCAGAGCGAAAGCTGTCCCAATCACTGCAACAACATTCAGTAAATAAATAAAAACAGGATTAGAAGACGGATAATTAGGAGCTTATTATGGTATAATTAACTTTAACTCAAGCCAATTAAGTGCAATTCAGCCGGCTTATCGGTCAACAGTGGTACAGTACTCTGTTTCCTTACAAAATTTGGGTTGAAGTTATTTATTTATTATTATTTTATCGAAGAATTTTTTATTGATTTTTTCGTTGCAGATATTAATTTGAGACACTCCAGTTGTTGAAGTCGAAAACAATAGATAATAGGGGGGGAAAAAGTCATTTAAAATTGGGTTAGGTAATAGAGTCTGTCGCTAAGTACAGAGGGTACGCCAAAACTGTTTTCTATAATTAATCATTAGCATAAATTCTACAAATAAAAATCCAAAAATCAGATGGTGATGGTGTCTCCTTCCACACGATCGAAGGATCCCTAAAAAATAATCAAATGAGTTGTGCATCCCATGTGCCAAATTAATTGATTAATTAATTTTTTTCCCCTTCATATATGCAGAAAGAATATAGCAAAATTATAGAGTTTTAGTATTCTATGTTAAAAGGGGAGGAAGAAAATAGTTTCGAAATATATCGAATTCAAACCAACCATCTCAAAATTGTATGGTCATGTTATTTGATGCTGTCATTTTACCAAAAGTCCCTTAGTTAAAAGAAAGAATAACGGTCCACTAGTTTTTTTTTAGGAATTACTATAGGAGTTTCCAAGACCTTGGAAACAAAGATGAAAATCATTAATGATTGATTTTTTTTTTCTCCTCTTTTGCAGAATGAAATTTTTTGAGTTAGGGTTGAACCTTCGGGTATATCGGCAGCAATCACCGCAAGCTCGGCAAGCAGCCATAGGCATATCTTCACGAATTGAGGATACTCGGCCTTGCACAGTTCGGATAAGTGTTTCCCTACAAAACGATGATGGCAAATCCAACAATCAATCTCCATATAATAATTTATAATGACTTCAAAACCAAAGTGGTCAAAGATTTCAACTCAATGTTTGTATCTTCTAATGTCGTTACTCAAAGAGTACTATATTACCTAGCTCATATAATAATGATAATAACAATAATCCTAATACCAATACTACTTCCTCGTCATCTTATGTGATGGTTTTGCTCAATTTTAATCATATCTCTTGTTTACATACTGTATCAATGTAAAATTGTAATCTTATGTTGAGTATCTATACACCTTTTGACGGCAAACCGATTCATGAGAATATTGAACAGATTCGTGTCGTCGTAGTCTCAGCAGAAACAAACAAAAATGTTAGTTACCAGTTTTTGTCTTAAAAACTTTCATATATTTTTTTTTTCTTTCAAACTAGCTCCTAAACTTTACTGTTTTCCCTCAAAAGATCGAGCACTTAAATTGTGTAACTTAATTGTACTAGTAGCCCTAAGAATGTATGACGAAGATGAGAACGAAGCTCGCATCTAACGACAAATTCCGTCAACTTTAATTTGACGTCAGAGGCGTTTGTTTCGAAAGAACATTATTACGGAGTTATGTGGCAGAGGAACGGAGAGTAGCCTGATATAACTTACCGGTGCTAACGCCAAGGTTGGCAGCGAGAGATTGGATAATGAGCGCGAAGATCAACCCAATCAGTATAATCCACAACAGCTGTTCATTCATTCATCATAGACAAACACAACCCAATTAGTAAACCTAATTAATTAATATAATCTCCAATTAATCTCTAACCCTCTCCAATATTGTCGGCATGCACCCATTAAAACATCGTTTTCACCACTACGTCACCCCTTGTGACTCTAGTTGAACACTAACTAGTTTATTTATATATTTACAAAAGCTAGCTAGCTAGAAGCCCAGTTCCATGATGGAACGAATGACGACTGGTAATTAATCAGTACATAAATGTAATTATCTGTGATTTTCCTTTCTCACCTCGTAGCCGTGATTAGCCCCGGCCTGCAGGTCAGTTTCCACTGCGATACCAAATAAATAAATAAATAATGGAGTGAAAAAGGATGGCAAACTAAAAAAAAATATAAATTAGACAGTAATTAGTGTAGTGGTTAATTACGTACGGTTTCCCGGGTCGAGGTAGGCCAGTGAGACGAGGAAACCCGGCCCAATGAACTTCAGGAACTTCCTCCATCCCGGCTGCTCCATCGCATTAATCAAGTCAACCCCACCAGTTAGTTGAGTTTCAAACCATAATTAATGATTTAATTGTAAGGCTGGAGGAAACCTGCTTATAGATAATCAAACCTGCTGATCATCATCGGAAACGGTATTAGTAGTAGTAGTAGTATGATTGGTGGGCGGCGGGGAGGGGGTTCCGGCGACGGCGGCTACGCGGTTGTTGGGCTGGCCGTCGGCTGCTGGCGGTAGTTGCTGAGCTGGACGAAAGCTGGCCATGTTGTACAACTAATTAACTGTAAATGTGTGTGTGTTTTTTTTTTTTTTGTGCGTTGGACTGTTTGGTTCCCGAGAAAATGAGATTAAGGAAGGCGGAGATTAGAGGGGTTTGAGATGTGGGAGTGGGAAGGGAGGGTTTTGATGGTATTTATAGAGGTGTTGCTGAAATGGAATATAACTTATAAGGGTTACTTAGTCAACGAGACGGAGCCTTTAATTTGTCTTTCAGATTCCTCAGTTCTGTCTCCCAAGTTTATCCACCCATTATGAGCTAATAATGATTAAGGGTTTTTAACTTGGGGGAAAAAAGTGTTGACTTCATTACTGTAAAATGCATGTTCTTGTTTCTCATATTTGTAAATTCATGTCATTTTTCTGGTTGAGTGTTGTTTATATGAAGTGTGTATATATATAACACAGGTCTGACTTTTATTGTTGTTATTTATTTATTTTTTTTCCAGTGAGATTCTTTTTTTTCTGGTGGGGAGAATTGTGAGAAGATAATGTAGTTTTTTTATTAAATCGATAATATGAATTCAGTCTAGAGGAGAGTAGGACTGGAATGATACTTGAAACAATCGATCGAAGAGCGACAATGATTCGAGACCAACTTACACAGTTATATTTTCTTTAGACTTGTTTAAATGACATCCGACCTATTAACAATGAAAATCTATCTTAGGCTTTTTTTAGACTTACCCGAAGGCCATTCTTCCCAATCCACATTTAATTAAATTTCATAAAAAATTAATCGAATAGGCGAAAGTCGAAGTGATCGAGCAAAGTCTACGAAGTGAGGGCCCAACTCCTTATGCTCCTTTTACTAGCCTTAGTGAGTTTTCATGCATATATTTCATTTCACTAATATGGTATTTCATAAGCTTCTTTTCAATTCTTTATTTCCCTTCAACTACTCAATTGCTCTCTTCCCTTCATGTTCCATTCAAATCAATTTAAAAAATCCCAACAAATTTTTTTTAATCTTTCTTTCACTGTGTTTTATGACTTATACTTTGTACTACATATGACTAGTTACTCTAACTAGGGGTGGGCATTGGGTGGGTCGCGTGGATTTTGACCATAAAATGCACCCACCCGCGCTTAAACGGATTGATAATTTTTAACCCACCACCCACCCACATTTAGTCTTGGGTTGGGTCAGGCGGATGGTGGATGATGCGGGTGGGTTTGTGGGTTCACCCACATCACAATGTATATAATATAAAAGAGTCAACTTGACATGATAATAGGTGAAGAGAATCATCGAGGGAAACAAGAAGTTGAAATAGGGCGAAAAATGTCGAATTAGTTCTTAAATTGGATAGAAATTCTATTATGAAAGAGTTTTCTAAAGATTGAGACTATTATTAGGTGCAAGGAACTAAGAAAAATAATTCCACAAAGGAAAGAGTAGTGATCTAGGCACAAGAATTAGAGGAAAACGTAAAGGGAAGAAGAGGGGATCTCTATTTGGAAGGTTGGCTTTGAGGTTCAAACTCCAGGAGCAGTCCGAGTTTATATCTAACGTCTCCACTCTCCTCTCTCTAGCGCCAACGACTTTGATCTTTTTGCTGTTGGGTTGAGCGGGTCACCCGCACACTCAACCACAACCCACCCACCACCTGACGGATGGCTCCCAGCGCAACCCGTCACCCACCCACAGACCCACCCACTTAACGAAATTCGGGTCAAATGCGGGTGGGTCGGCCCAAACCCGCGGATGATCCGCCCGCATGCCCAGCCCTAACTCTAACAATATAAACAAGTAAACATTATCTGATGTTTTATTTACTGCTTATTATTAATTACCTTTGACCCTTAAAACTAATTTGTCAAAAAAGACCCTTAAAACTATGCTTACTGTTCATCCAATAATTGGGCAAGGGCCTTCACTAAACATGCTGTCTTTTCCAAATAAAATAACTTTTCAAGAAAATAATCACAAAGTAAAATAAGTGGATGCAAAAGTAATAGTTTAAGGAAGCAGTCCAAACTCCAACCTAAACAAAAATGCCGGCTTTTTTGTTTTGACGAATAGGCGCAGCACAAGTGTCCAGCTGTTAACGAACTTTGGTGCAAAGCAAGTTGATGTCGCGATCAACCCGTCCATGCCGCTCTGCGACTGCGAGCATGAATTAGGCCTTTTGATCCAAAATAGGCGGAGGGTTTGGGGGTGAGGTCACTTTCTTAAAATAATAGGGTTTACAATTACACACTTAAGATTACAACTTTCTATGCCCAAAAGATTATTAGTTATTTATGGGGGGAAATTTGGGAAATGCTAAAGGATGGTATGATCGGTGACGGAGTCAGTAATTTTATATGAGGTGTCTTTTTTCAATAATTAAAGTCTCGTAGAAGAGAAGAGTCAGAAAGGTGACCAGACTCATTAGGATAAAATCGAGTAACTTGGGAAGTTAGGTTCCTACTTTCGAAATGGTTGTTTCTGTTACTTGGTACTTGATAGCAACAGGCCATCTACTTGTTCTTCTTTTTAATGTACACTTCCTTTTTGTATATCAGAAAGATATCTACCTGTTGCAGACAAGACATGGATATAGATAGAGAACGAAGTTGTCATGGGTTTTTAAGTTTTGACTATCACGTGTATCTGCCGAAAATTTACGTACCAAGCTCTTTTGTTCATATAACCATAATATTAGTGTTTCTCAGTTTTTGCATTATCTCCAGATTGGAGACGTCGTAAGCAGCACACTTGAAAGCTTACGGACAACCCAATTTTTCTCATTGAGAGATTCCCTTTTGAAAACACTCATATACGAAGAAGAAGAAAAAGATTCCCTATGGCAAAATGCAAGGCTTTCCTTTGATTATTAACGGACAATGATCAAGGCTTTCCAAAATGTAATTTTTAAATGACATTCTTCGTATAAAAAATAAATTTTAAGTATCAAATTATAGAATATAAAAAATATAGATGCTAAATTATAATTTGACAACGATCCATAAATTCAATCCAGAAATCCATCAATCCAATTAGATTTAGATCAAATGGATTGGATTTAAATAAATTGGATTAATTGGATATTTAAGTGGATAAAACGGTGGGTTGAATTGAAAATTGCCACCTCTACTCATACTTACCCGTAATTTTTCAACAAGTGTGTGGACCGACAAACATAAGTATTAAGCTTAGTGTACACTGTACAGTAATTTCCTTATCATCTCCACAGAAACATAATTTACTTCACAAGCGGAATCGGCGGGTCAACCAATTCATGCACCCCGTAGGAGTAGATGAGATCGTGTTTCGAGAGCCAATCCGCGATATCCTTCTTAGCCACTTTTACTTGTTCTGAAATTTCTGCATATTCCTCCTGATTGAGTAGCTTCAATCTTCATTTAACCTCTTTCAACTGCTGACAGACTGTAAACATGGCAATGCCCTTTACAAGCTTACCCATGCTTCCCTCACTATTTTCTTTTCTTGGGTTAATTGCATGGTTGGTCACTTAGATTACAAAAAAACACTCAAGTTTGGTCACTCAAAATATTTAAATCCATTGGTGGTACTTCAGTTTATTCAAACCGTCGACGTTTGGTCACTCTCCGTCCAACTCTGTTAACTTTTGTTTATGTGGCGGCCAACTCTAAAAGTTGACCGTTAAAAGTGGAGTTTTTTCCAGAAATAGCACCTTTAAAAAAAAAATTACAAAACTAGCACCCTCTCAAAAATATTTACAAAACTAGCACCCTTTTTTATTGACCGCACCATCGTGATGCGATTTACATATAAACCGCATCCCCCAGGTGCGTTTTAATGTAAACCGCACCTGGAGGGTGCGTTCTAATCTGGTGGGCCTAAATCGCACCTTGGCAATGCGTTTTCATGTCTGGCCTACATGAAACGCATGGCCGAGGTGCGGTTTAGGTCTGACCTACCTAAACCGCACCATAGAGATGCGATTTATTCCTCCAAGAACGAACCGCATCTGTAAGGTGCGGTTTAGCCATATAGATCGCACCCCCCAAGTGCGGTTTAACCTTGTAGATCGCACCCCCCAAGTGCGGTTTACGTGCCAATTATTTTCCTGCCACCCGACAGCCATGCAGAGAATTATGCACGTAGGGCTGCATGGCTGACTAAAACCGCACCCTAGAGGTGCGGTTTTCACAATTTTTTCCCCTATATAAGACTTGCCGGAAAACCTCTACTCTTCACACCTCTCATTCTCTCTTTCATTTTTCTGTTGTATATCTATATTTATTTAGTGTGTTTGCCATTAAGATTAACTCGTAAGTTTTTTTTGTTACTTTTTATGCCATTAACATTAACTCGTAACTTTATCTTGTGTTACTTTTTATGCCATTAACATTAACTCGTAAGTTGATTTTGTTTGACTTTTTATTGTGATTTGTGATTTTGATGATATTAACTAAACTACGGTTTATTTGTGTGCAGATGGCATTCCGTCAGTTAACGCTTGGCTTACGGTGGAATGATTACACGGAAGAGACCGGAAAGGGGGCCACCTACGTCGGTGGCAATTTTCAGAAAATAACGGTCGGTACCAGACCGAAGCTTGAAGACCTCCATCAAATATGCACTGACGCAACTTGCATGGATGGCACGAGGAGGGTAGATCGTATGGTGTACCGATACCCAAACAGAGCAACTGGGTCATTGTGGCATGAGGAATATACCATAACCACTCAAGATGACCTAGATTCCATGCTCGAATTCTTGTGGTCCAACAAATTGGCCAAAGCCGAGATGTTCGTTTACACCGAGCCAGTCGTTGGTGTTGGACGTCATTCTGGACACGGTCAAACATCTGGTATCCATGGTGGAGGTGAATTATATGACGATCATCCCTACCAAAGTTACCATGATCCTCAATCCTATTTTCAGTACCAAGATGGAGGGCAAGGTGCTGGCCATCATCAATCTTTCTCGTCATATGAAGAAGAAGTTCAACCGGACATCCCCAACCAAGCCCAGTACAACTTCCTGACAGGCAGCGGTAGTTTTCACAACTACCATAAGCTTCACCTCTTAGGGGATGATCGATTGGCCAATCCCTGTCTGGACGTTGGGCCGGTGCAAGCCATGGCATATGCTCCCAAGCCCAAAATTGGACGATGAACATTGCGCCGCCGACCTCCCTCACGGCTTTTAGAGACGCATTGCACAAGTTGTGGTAGATCATAGCTAGGCAAGCAGATGCCCAACTATACTCCCCCATCTCCTCCCAACTACTGAAGATGATCCTAAGCCATCCACAACTAAGGAGATTGCTTGCTTTCTTGGAGAAGAACACTCCTCCGATCATGCCTATGAGATAGACACGAGCATATCTCTCCTTCTCATCCTCCGGACTTTCCTCCGTAAGCGGATGACTCTCGTAATGATCTCTAAAATACTTCGTCAACCATGTAATTGAGACTTGGTGTTTCCTCAATGGTGGCATGCGATCGGTCACATCAACGCAACCCTTAACCGGTACTTTCACTCCCAAATGACTGTGGATGAAATGCTGCCAACCGGGCATACCGTCACAATCCTCGGGGGGATGATCACTCACGCACACCGGTTTGCCGTCGATGGGCAGATGGGTTAGGATGGCAACATCCTTTAGCGTGATGGATGCCTCTCCTTCTCTAAAGTTGAAACAATGGGTCTCCTTTCTCCATCTCTCGGCTAATGCGGTGATGAGTTGACGATCGATTTGGATGCCGTTAAAATGCCTAATCGAGTCTAACCGTGCCCTTTTGAGAAATGGCAAGATAGCGGGGTGGAATGGGAGCACATTTGTGGTACCCCTGTAGCGGATTATTGTTTGTGCCTCCTAGGAAAAATGTACACGTTAATTATTATTAGTAAGGGTTTTTTTTCGTATAACTAAATTAATTTAATTAAATTATGCGACATAAAACATAATTTTATTATCATAAAAAGACATTTCATATTACCTCCCTCCCATTGTCAATGAATAATAATTTCAAGAGGTACATACATATTATCGTAAAACAAACATACTGAATTAATTAACATAAATAACATTGTTAATGAATAATAATTTAAGTAGAAACATACATATTCAAATGTTTGTGTAAATAATTTAATCGTATTAGTTGTTTTAAAGAGGTACATACATATTATCGTAAAACAAACATACTTAAGTAATTAACATAAATAACATTGTTAATGAATAATAATTTAAGTAGAAACATACATCTTCAAATGTTTGGTAAATAATTTAATCGTATTAGTTGTTTTAAATAATTTAATTGAATACAAAGCAACACTTGTTAGACTCTTAGAAGAGGTATACATCTTCTTAGAAACGCAGTCTTTTTGACAGAAAAAGGGGGGATCCGAGGATCTCTTAATACCCGATTTTCCCAGGTAATGGGAGGATATGATAATCGCTTAAAACCCCATTTCCTTAGACGTGCATCTCTTTATAAAGAGTCGAAGTAAGTGGCGCTATGTATTCGATTAAATTATTGAAAACCACCAACACGATTAAAAAATAAACATAAATTTATTTTATATTACACTAGGCACATTAACAAAATAAAAGAAGGACAAATGGTGAAGAATTGTATGTACCGGGTGATCGTTCCAAACATCCCTTGACCGATGGTTGGATTGGTCGTACAAGTCGGTTGGATCCACCGGTCCTTGCTCGAGATAATATCGTTGGTTGTATATATCGACGTCCTCCCCAACCTACGAGAAAATAACAACGAGGTTAGTACATAGATTAATTAAAAAACTTATAACAACAATAAAAATTAAACCAGAATAATGAGTACATACCGCTTGAAATTCATCGACATAAACTCCTTCTCCTTGCCACCAATCGGCCATTTTTTTGGCATAATTCGGACAGAGCTTCGGCTTGGCTCGGCGGGTTTTTGAGGAAAAAACCTAAGAAATATTTTCTGATGGCAGATCGGACTTAGCCGCAACCAACAGACTTTTATTTCCTAGGCTTTTGGGAGGGGAGTGTTTAGAGAGATTATATCTAGAGAGAGAAGGAGAATGGGTTGTGTGGAGTGAAGAAATGAGAGGGGGAGGGGGGGTATTTATACCCAACAGATCGCACCCCTCATGGGCGTTAGGGTAATTTTACCCCGCAGAAATCGCATTATTCCCGGTGCGATCTACACGCCAAATCGCATTCCCCTGATGCGATCCCCGCGTCCCGATGCGTTGAACGCGCAGAAAACTGACGCTCCAATTTTCCAGGCGAGAAATCGCACCTCACCAGTGCGATCCACACACAGTCGCGCGGATTGCTGACGTGGCTATGCTGCAGCCCGTCAGATCGCATCTTAATCGTGCGATCCAGAAGGTCGCTGGCGACCAAATATGGAACGCATCTTGGGAATGCGTTTTACCTTAGAAATCGCATCTTAGGGGTGCGATTTATGAAGGAAATGCATCCTAAGGCTGCGTTTCCTTCATAAATCGCACTGCGTTTCATTTATAAATCGCACCCCTAAGGTGCGTTCCATTAAAATAGGTGCTAGTTTTGTAATTAGTTTTGGAAGGGTGCTAGTTTTGTAATTTTTTTTTTTAAAGGTGCTATTATTGGAAAAATCTCTTAAAAGTGTGAAGTGACAATTTAAAAATAATAAATTTTATAAAATTAAATTTTTCAAAATTATCGTCTCATTTTCACCTCATTATCACTTTTATTTAAAAAAAATAAAAACCCTAATTTCTTCTAATCCCCCAATCCCTGATCTAGCTAGAGACTCTCTTTCAATTTTTCGTCGATATTAGGGGTAGTCGGACGAAAATCGATTTGAATGAAAAGGAGAGAGATAATAACAGGCAAAGATCAGAGCTTTATTGGAACTAGGGCTGCAAATGAGCCAAGCCGCTCGCGAGCAACTCGGCGTTCGAATCGGAAAAAACTCGTTCGACACTCTACTCGTTATTTAACAAGCCGGCTCGCGAGCCAACTCGTTAGTTAACGAGCCAAGCCTGAGCTAGACCATGCTCAGCTTGATAAGCTCACGAGCTAGCTTGATTCGGTGGCTTGTCGAGCTAAGCTCGCGAGCTGCCTTGTTTTGAACTTGTGGAAGGATGAATTACTCTTTTAAACATGAACATTGTCTTCTAATACAGATGTGTATGATATTTAGATGTTATTTATAGTTTCTAGTGTTCTTTCTATCATTTAAATTCTTATGTTTATACATTTTTCCAACAAAAATGATTTTAAATCGAGCCCATCTTGAGCCGAGCTTGTACTCAGCTTGACAAGCTATGTTAATGAGCATTTATCGAGCTCTACCGAGTCGAGCTCGAGCTAGATTATTTTTATTCAAGCCGAGCTCGAGCTCGAGCTGGATTATCAAAATTCGAGTTCGAGCCGAGCTGAAAAATTAATAAACGAGCCGAGCTCAAGCTAAGCAAAAACTCGACTCGACTCGGCTCGTTTGCAGCCCTAATTGGAACTCTAGAAGAAGAATCCATGGAATGACACAAATCGATTCCCACCAGCTTTTTGCTCGCTGCCGTCAACGATGACCTACCTCGGCCCTTTTTACCTTGCTTTCTTTTATCCTTAACACCTTCATGACAACAACAATTCTGAATCCATCTCTTTTGGAGCTTGCCATTCAGTCATAACCCCTTGCTCAATAGATTTCACCAGATTTGCCACCACAATGTTTAAATTACTTCAATTACCACAGCAGCAGCAGACCCATATGTCGAATCAAATCTTTTCAACTTCAAACTCCATACCCCATCCAGGGCTTCTACCTCCATTTCCCTTAAAGTTAACACACATAACTTCTTCCTCACACATATTTCCACAACTTACATTTCCTGCATCCTAAAGGACGATTGCAACATTCAAAGTTTACCAAGAAAGCAGGTTTGTATCAGGGACTAGCTTTAGAGACGCACTGTTCTTTCCAATTACTCTGTGGAACTCCCCAGCTCAGCACAAGCAGAGGGAAGGCGATATTTGTCCAAGGCACCAAATATCCAGAGTAACATAGCTCATCGAATGTCTCGACACAGAACTTTTCAACCTTGCTACAGCAGGGACTTGCGAGCCATAACTGGTTTCGCCTTCTTCACCTCCCTAAATCTGTGCTCTATGCCTTCTTCAATAATCTTCTTGTGGAACTTATCATCTAGGGAGCCCTCTAGTCCCGCTGATTTTAACGAGTCACAAACGAGCTTATACGTGTACTCCCTAGGTATCGAGCCCCCATCAACAAGCTCAACAAGGAAATCCCAAGCCTCCAGGGCTCTTCCTGCTTCACAAAGAGAATGTATTATTGGGGTGTACGAGCTTGAAGTGGGCAACCCATGATTCATCTTCTGCATCATCCTCAACATCTCAACAGCTTTATCAATCTCATTCACCACACTGTAGTATCTAATGAAAGAATCGTAAGTTACCCGATTCGGGACACAACCTCTTTTATTCATATCTTGAAAAAGCTCCGTCGCCCTTTCGATTCGGTGAGTCTTGCAACATCCGTCGATCAAACAATTGTAAGTAACAAGATCAGGGACGAACCCATTAAACAGCATCAGCCTAAACAGATGGTTTGCCTCCCACAACCTCCTCCTTATTGCCTTCCTACACCCTGTATGCAGACTGTACTTACAATAGGAGCTAATCAATATAGTGTAGGTAAACGTATCGGGCGGACACTTGAACCCTGGTAACTCCATCTGCTGCAACAAAGCTCTCGCCTTTTTGAAATTCCCGACCTTGCAGAGAGCGTAAATCATTGTGTTGTACGCATAAACATCAGGCTTACAGTGATACTGCTTCATCCGATAGAACAGAGCCAATGCCTGTTTCACCAGGCCTTCTTCTCCTAGGACTTTCATCAAACAGGTAACGGTCGGTGTGGTAACAAGACTTGTTTCACCACCATTTCCTCCTCTTCTGGCCATTTCTCTGAGAAATTCCCACAGCATGTCCACCCTATTCCCCCGCGCCAACACAACAGCCATGTCTCGACATGAAGATTCGGTATGCTGAAACCCTAAATTCGTCTCCACCCAACTGAAAAACTCCACTGCCTTGCTCACCCCCAAATTCACCCTCCTCGGATCCCTGTAAGCTCCAGGACCGAGAACTAGAGCTCCGTCGCGACGGTTACAGTATTCCACCTCGAGATTGCGCTGTCTTACCGGAGAACGGTGGCGGGTAGTGTTCTGCCTGCCGATCGAGCGAGGGGAGAGGAAAAAGAACCTGGGTATGGAGCGGAGAACGTCGGATACCAAATCCGCCGTCAAGAGCGCGCGGGAGGTGGTCGCTGAGGCGAGATGCTCGTCGAAGGGGCGGGCTTGGATCATCACTGACATTATCTGGTTCATTACTAGAGCAGCGCGATTGATGTTTGCAGGCTTTGACGGCGGGGAGATCGTCATGTTCGGAGGCCAAATCTGAGAAGCAAATGCTTACATTCATGTGGCAGTAATTATTAGTAGGATTGCTGGACGGGAGATGACGGCGGTTTACAATTTGTGCTTGCTCGCAGAGGTTGTGTACTTGCGTTGATTCAAATGAAAGAATTGCTTGCCGCCATGGCGAGGGGAAGCGGGGGAGGGAAACGATGAACCCAAGTCGAGTTGCAGCCGAAAAGAGGTTTGTGGGCTGGAAGTTTGTGGGCCTTCAGGCTGGGTCGAATCAGGTAGCAATTTTGGGCCAACCATATGTATAGATCCAACATGCAGAAGTTGGATTCGAATCAGAGCGGCCTAAGCCCAAATCCGAATATTTGATCGGCGAAGAAGCAGTGGTTGAAGGGTTGACTTAGCCGCAGAAACCTAGTTCATATACTAATGACAATTTCGATCTAACTTGTTATATTTGAATATTTGATCTATTTAACTTGTTTTGGGCGGGTATTAACAATTAAACGGATGAGCGGGTATGGATAATTTCTTCTATCTGATTCGTCTCATTCTCGATTCGTTATTGTCTAAATTACATATATTTTTACACAAATTAATTAGTATTTTACTTTTATTACATTATATTTTAGCTATAATAAAGTTGTAAATAGACAAAAAATTGTTAGTAAAAGGTATATGATTCATGATTGAACATCTCCCAACAACTCGAGTTATTGGGATCAGGTGGTCCTTGAGATGGTACCAGATTTTTCTGTAACCGAGAAGTCTTCTGTTGGATTCCCGATGACCCTCATTCGTTCTATTAAGCACATTGTGTATGGAGCTGTGCAGACTTCAAGCCCTATACATGTGGATTTTCGTTTGAGAGATTGTATTAATAAATGGTATATGACTCATGATTGAATTTTTCTCAACAACTCGAGTTATTGGGATAAATGGTTCTCGACAAACATCAATGAAAAAGTCAACTTCTGGCCACCAAAACGAAGAAAATGAAGACATATAGATTTGACTTTTGAGCTACTTGTACGGTATCATGTTTCAACGGTATAGTTAGTTAGGTTTGTGGTGGAGATCGAATAACCGTTCCAGATTAGTCTGCGGTAGATAATTTACGTTATCTTGTTAATCTAGAGGGGATCGTTGGGTTTTTTTTTTTTTTTTTTCCGTGGGTGCGTCGAATCTTGCAGGCTGCCGCGAGCCATTAAAGTCGACTTCCCATAAACATTCCGCTGCAGAGATGAATATAACTAATTGAATCGGCACTAATAACGCCACTAACAGCGGTGTTTTGCGGGAAACAAGTGTTGATATATAATAATACCCCTGATCAATTAACAGTCAAACATCATTACATTTGCTCGACAAATGTAAAATATGCCAAAAAAACGATTGTAAAATAAGTTGTCACTTTGGGGGAAATATTTGAAGATGAACTCATCCGTTTGTGATTTCTAAATTGAGTGGTCTAGATCGAACAATAATTTAGAAATCTCGAAGAATTATGAGTATCATACCACGAAAGAAGTGGCATTTTATACGTTTTTAAGTTAAACATATACATTTGGTTCAATATTGTGTCTGATGAGAATAGACCTCACATGAGTCACGGTATTTTTTTATTTTTAAAGGACTACTATAACCTTATTTGAGAAGGTCTTATATATCCTCCAAGTAAGCATATTGAAGAAGCACCTTGTTAGGGCAACGAGTTCGGGCTAGGCCTCACATGGTTCACGATATTTCTAAACGACTACTACTGCACCTTATTTGAGAAAGCCTTCTCTCCTCCAAGTAACGCAACACTATCATGGAATAATTATCTGTACAATCACATTCTAAACATATGAGATCGACGGAACGAGATTTATGTCTCGTCCTTATTTAGAGAAACGGTCACATATTTCGTAATTTGTAATTGAGCTTACTTGGCGTGCACCTGTAATGTACTACTCAAGTAAATTTTTTTTTTTTACTGTTTAAAGGAAAACCGCCTAAAGTAAGTATTCGAAGAACCCATATTCATCCCAGCTACAACTTCCATTAACCTGCCAAACTCCATTGTTGGATCTTAGCATACTGAAACAAAAACGACATTTTATATATAGCTTGCAACTCTATTTTGTTCACTTTCCACAGGCCGTCTCTAGCCATCCGTAGCCGTTACTCAATATAGAGCACGCCCCAAATTAACTACTATCAAGCGGACAACACATGTGGAAGTGGAAAATACATATATTTTTTTAGGCACATCACTAGCCTCTCGTTGGCTGTTGTTGGCAAAACCAGGACGACGTCGTTTGACTGCGTTCCGAAAATTGGGCCCAAATCTCTCTCTCTCTCATTCGCAAAGGCCCATCAAAAGAGCCCAAAGCCGGCCCACTGTGCGTCACCCAGAGGCCGCGGCGAAAACTGATCGTACGACGACGAAGAGTACGAGTAAGGCGACGCCGGCGAGTCCATAAACGGCGACAGAGACCGCCGGCTCGACACCGACCACCGAGAGAACGACTCCAGATCGGAACCCGAATCATAACAGCTCTCCTCCTCCGCCACAGGGACAGCAGTACTCATCCTCTTACTCTTGCTCTTGCTTTTCTTCCCCCGCCTTCTCAGCAACAACAGCTTGGGCAGATTGAAGAAGCACCCGGCTGAAGGGGCGACGAGCTCGGGCTGCTGTCCGGCCCGAACCCGATTACTAGCAGGCCGATGATGATGATGGGCCGTTCCCCATCGCTCGGATTGGGCCCGGGGAGCGGATCGGAAGGAGCGGCCCGATCCGAGGTTTGGAGGCGGGGTGAGGAAGATGGACGAGGAGCGGCTGATTCTTGGGGAAGAGTGGGCGGAGCGGGAGGTGATTATGAAGGAAGGTTGTGATGATGGTGGAGAGAGTGCCGGAGGTGAGAGCTTTTTGGGTAAGGGAGAATGTTGTTTGTTTTGGTGGTGGTGGTGGTGTTGGAGCTTTGGGACGCCGGGTCGGATCTCCCATTTGAACGGGACGGCGCCCGGTTTCTTGAATGACTCGTCGATTTCCACCGTCATCTATCTTGCTTTATGTTCTATGTGACGCCCAATGGTGCTTAGCTTAAGGAAGAGTGTATATATATAGATGTAGAAGAAGAAGTAGCAATGGAGAAAAAAAGAGTGGTAATGCTATTTTGGTGATGATTTGGTGAATCATTGGAACAAAGAAAGCAAAGCTATGGGGACCCGCCGTCTTTCTGGCGAGATTCAAGGAGGCTAATGTCAAGGCTTTGATGGGAAGGCCCTCCACAAACCGCAACTCACTCTAGACTTTTTGTTCCAAAGATGATTTGAGATAACATTTTCATAGTTGTTAATATAATGGAAAGTAAGGGAAGCTCCTGTCACACCTAGTCATTCACACTATTCAGACCGATTGCAGAGATCAAATGCTTTATGGCGCAACCTTGGAAAGTAAGATTAGAATTCTGTTTATCGAGAAGTCAATTCTGACTTCAAGATACTCTCTACCTATGGGAGACATTCTTTCTAATTCAGTTTGTCACTTGCCTAGGGTTACTTGTTGTTCTTTGATCATATCGGGATTGAGTAACCCGTTTTGTTAATGAATAAATGTATGGGCTCCCTTTAAATGCTTTCATATTCTATGTAAAAAAACCAATTTTGATCAGGCAAATTGCTTAGCAGATGACGCGTACTTTGACAGTTCCGATATTGTAGCATGACTATGCAATTTACAAGTCCTCGTGACTTCATGTGTTCGAGTCCTCGTACCTCCGATTGCTTCTCGCAATGTTTGAGAAGCAAGAAGGGATAAGCAAGTAGCCGTAGCATGTAGGCGAGACTTTTCCAACTTCCCACAAAGGGAGAGTAGTTTCTAACAAATGAACTAGCTAATTAAAGACTATTCACGTGCTTAGTTTCAAACATAGCAGCAAATAGATTACGGCCATCTCTCAGAAATAAAATAAAAAAATAGATTACGGCCATCTTCGTCAAGCCATAGTCCATAGATCCACACCTAAATAGGGGTGGTAAGGGAGGCAAACTGGTGACGGTGAGGTCCCAAGTTCGATCCTGACCGCCACCATGGTGTTCCCGGAGGCATCCCGCTATCACCCGGACCGCCGGTGAAGGTCTCAGGGTTTAGCCCGACTACAGCATCACCAAGACCGTGGAGGGTGTTCCCCGTTCTAAAAAAAATAGGGGTAGAAATAGTGCTTTCGGAATAATTAGCCTTAGATCATCGCTAGCATGTCAAAAAATGCACTAACTAGTAACTAGTGCTGCTGATGTAAGAATGTCACGCGCCAAAAGGGAAAACCATACACTGAACAGAAAAACAAAATTTCCCAGGACCCATTTCAGAAGTAGCTAATCCGAGATGCGAATGATGGCGGATTTTTACTCAATGTTTGTCTCTGTGAGGATCCAAACAAATCAACACCCACTCATGTCTGTTTACCTTGCGCTGGCCTGTAATGATGTTAACGTGAACCCAACAGTTTCGGAAACATCCAAATCATTCCAAGAACTCCACTCGCTGTGGTTGGCCAGTCAAACACAAAAAAAACATATCATTTTGGCAAATCAAAATCTTTTCTTGTTCCGCCCCCACTAGTTTGAAGATAATCAATCAAGTGGAGGGAAGCAACAATACTGAGGATTCTTCAATACGCAGTCATGTGCTGATTAGGACTCGATACGGTGTTCATCTTTCTTCAAGCTCAAAACATCGTACTAAGGACTGTTCTCGTGAATGCTCTACATACATTTTAGATTATATTAGAGGGCAAGATCATTACCTAACACTCGTAAGTGAACTCTTCCGGCATATTGTGGAGTGCTTTAATGATGTTGCTAGCAATGTCTAGCAGCTGCAGGTACTCATCAGCGCCATCTACCAGACACTGCAAAAAACACATGAGAGAGCGCACAATACGTGAGGCTCCATTTTCGACATGCTGGAACACATTCATAAGCAAGAAACTTTCCAGGGGTAAAACAACACGAGTTTCAGGAAATTTCAGTGAGTAGACAAGTAATTTCAGCTGTTATAGAATATAGCATTGGCAACTATAGCATAGTGAGTCCCACCACGATTCCTCTTTCTTATTATGCAACTTGGACTAGGAGCAGAAAATAACCTTATCCACTGAGCCCATATTCTTGCATATGCGAGCCTTCTGTTCATCTGAGATATCATCAGCTTCGACCACCACATCGAATAACTAAGGCAAGAATATATTCATCAGTAATCAGAATTATATCTAATAGGTACGAAAGACATGTGCCACAAGAGATGAAGCAGAAAATTTACCTGGGAAACCATCTGAGAGACTGGGTACCCATCAGAAATTACATTATTCACTTCTTTATTCGCCTTATCAAAGTTGCCACTTTTACAAGCTGCGAAAAATGACTCAACAACACTTTGGGGAACAACCTGACCAAAGACAAACGCAAAGCCAAGTATCTTAGTATGTACTACCCTGCATTACCACAGTTGAAATTAACAAGCATGACAAAACCACTACATCAAAGTGAACCAAATAGTGACATTGGTGGAGATGCAACAACACCATCCAATGTTCAGAAAGGATAAAGATTTTATCTTCTAAAAGAAATGCAGCATGATATTAATTGACTCGAACCACTTGACTTGCTAAGCCTGGTCAATCAGACATATTACTCTTGAGGGAAAAAGACCACGACAACAGCTTTAATCAAAATCCTCCTGGCACATCTTTATCAGGCACAGCAATAAATATCAGATTTGTTCAACACATAGTGTGCTTGTTCGGACCAGCAGAACGTAAAAGGCTAATCAAAAATGGAAAAGAAAGGAGCCCCAGGTTGCAGTTTTAAAAGGAGGACACCAGAAACAGGCCCAAGTTTTGTAATGGTAACCAAAGCAGAGCTGAGCTAATGCATAAGTTTCTTGAACAGCTGAACAAAGTTATGGTTTTAGAGAAATAGTGATACTGATCACATCTATTCCAGGGCAACTCTTTCTGAACAACTTCCACATTGGCATATTGCCCAAGACATTCATTGTATGACTTACCCCAGAGACGTTAATCAGGTCGTTAGATGAAATCGATGACCCATACAAGCGAGCTGCTCCCTGCCATTTATCATGGGGAAACATTGCACTATATTAGGAGAGCTGGTCACTCAGCACATAAATTTTGAATTTGAAGAGTACAGAGTACTTTAGAAAGAATATTGTTGAAATACAAAATTGAACATTGAAACATATAAACACCCACACCGGCATAATCAAGCAAATGTAAAACCCAAGAGAACACTGAACATCTAATCTAGAAGGTTATTATAATGTATCATAACATCTCTACAATGCAGAATCACGACCAGAACCGTCTGTATCTCAATCCTCCCCCCCCCCCCCCCCCCAAAGCCATTTATTGCCTACAAAACGAGCTCCTATACTATTGGTAATCAGATCCCGATCCGATAAAATTTCAATCTGCAGCTCCTTGAATTTATGACGCAGAACAGATCCGAGGGACTGCCAGAACAAGTTCACTATATAAACAAGACTGGGTCAAGGCTCGAGGATCAAGTTCTTATGCATACTCCAAGCGGAAGGACATGCATCCTTACAAGGGAAACTATCAGTATTTAAAATCAGTTACTATCCGAGTATGTTACTGAATTCCAGGAATCCCTAACTATTTTAAATTGATATGATCGCTTGTCTAAGTTGCCATATGATTGCTGATAAGCTCTCAGGTGCAGATTATGAGGGATTAACATGGTTCAGAAAATTACAATGGACGATAATCAAACAATCATAATCACTTAACAGAAACTATGAATATTTCTTACTTGCAAGTATGTGATTGCCCGACGAAGATCTCCTTGTGATATGGTGCCCAAGGTTGAAACAGCCTATTCATGGTGCGCCATACGTTTGTTTACATTTCATAAATTTGCCAAAACTGGTACGAATGAGACTACACTGACTTGAAATCATCATTACCTCGTCATCAAGATAGATACCTTCCTCCTTACAGATGTGCAGTATACGGCTACTCATAATTTCTTCTGAAAGTGGCTTGAACCTGAATTTTGCACACCTCGACGCAAGGGGCTCGATTATCCTACACAAATTGAAACGAACTGCCATAAAATCCAACATCTAGTTTACTTATCAAGTCAGTTAGTACGTTGACCAAATGCAAACGGCACGGCTTCTCCACGTATACCTGTTAAGAGTGGACAAAACTCTACACCAGCTGGTAGCTACCCATGGTCAGGTATCTTTGAGTGTTAGTCTAACAAATGTTCTTTGCAATTTAATATTGAATTTGTTGTCTATTTAGTTGTAGAAAACCTCAATTCTATCAGATCGGAGAAGAAAGTGGTCATGGTTCAGATGGGAAAATTTTATCCAGGAACACTAATTTTTAACACACACAATGGCACAACCAGTTCATTAGATGAAGATTGCGGTTTGGAAAATAGAGTCTTTTTCCTCTCTATTACCCCTATGTAGATGCCACATTAGCTGAACATTAAGCTGATCAACACCAGAGTGACTAATTAAGCCAAGTATGAAAGCTGTACCTGCTTATGTAATTGCATATGAAGAAGAATCTTGTAACTTTAGAATAAGTCTCCATCGTACGCCTCAATGCATTCTGTAACAAAGATGCTAAGTTTTATGACATTGAACTTACGGTGATAAGAAAAAAGAGAAATCAAAAGAGAGCAAAATGGAACATGCCTGGGCGTCTTCTGTCATTGAATCTGCCTCATCTAGGATAATAATCTTGAATGGTGGACACGGATAATTCCTACAAAGGACATAGAAATTAAGAAACACTATAGTTTGTCAAAATAAAAACAAAAACAAAAAAAGCAATGCATACCCATGATGTGGTCTAGTATCCACAGCTACAGCAGCAAAATCCTTGATCTTAGTCCGGACAACATTGATTCCACGGTCATCACTAGCATTGAGCTCCAGAACACGTGACTTGTAGTGCTCGGGCCTTAAAACAAAGGCATTTAATCAGAGAACATTCACT